CTAATCCTCAAGTAATGAATAAAAATCAGGTTCGTCCGGTCTCTTTGTGTAAGATTCGGGCCCATCCTTTACTCTCAAATCGTGTCAACGGAAAGTTTATCGCTTTTTGTATTGATTTTTTTTAATCATGTTTATTATTAAATTTTACCTTGCAAGTATCCAATAACACACTAATTGTAAATATAACAAACGTCTTTAGATAAATAAATGTTGAACACTAGTTATATAATTCAATCAAGGTATTCGTGTGCCTCACGTGGTTCTCTCGGTAAATAACCTTGAGAATAAAATAGAGTAATTTTCTTTTCAACGAGATTTTATGCATTATAAACATATAACTAAAACAAGTATGCACAGTATTGTAATTATTTTTTTATTTAATTGATGTGAGATAGTATCGATGTTCCTCTTCTCTATCCCGAACGCACGAGATCGGCAGTTAAATGATTATAGCATGTTTGGGAAGTGTTTATATTTCATTTAAAATTATAAATTGATAGAAATAATTTGTGAATAAGTGGAAATTACTTGTAGGTCTATCAGAATTTGTGGATAAAATATGACTTAGCCTCTGTTTGGTGGGGGAGCATAAGTAATTTTATTTACAGTTTTGCTACATGTACAAGTTGGTTGACAGTCTAGTTGACATTGTGTGAGGTGTCCAACATTTTTGCCTTTGATTTTAATAACATTTAAAATAATCAATAGTACGAATTTTGACAACACACACAATGTCACAAAAAAAAAAATGTTCAAATAACATAATTCATTTATTTATAAGTAAATAAGTAAGTGCTAAAATAAATAAATTATTTTGTTAATAAAAGTTAAAACTAAGTTAGCTATTTGAAAGTGTACAAACTTTATTGTTAAAATAAGTAATGTTCTATTAATAAATTAAAAAAGTTACTTAAAGATCAAGGAAACTGTACGAAAGGGTTTTTTTGGCATCAATATTTGTAATTTTATTATCTTTATACCTTTTCCTAAAAACCAAAACATGAAAGAAAGGAAATTAGAAAGATGATGTAGACAGCTGAAATACAAAGTCTTCATACCAACCAATAGGAGGCGATACGTACACGTCAAACCTCATAACTTTCAGATTGAGGATATATAAATTTTGTAACACGTAACATTGAATTGTTACGTCAGGACGATATGAATATCACTCATTTCCATCACCGTCCATCCTTGTCACTATCATCACATGTAACGAAGTGTTTTATACATATTTTGCAGCCTATTTCCATCTTCTACGCGTTTGCCGCTACTACCCCACCATCATCAGGGGAGGAGGTAGGGAGGATTGAATAATCCTCAAGTAATGGACGCAATCTGACTCATCAACCCTTTTCGGGTAGGATTCTATCCCATCCTCTAGCATTTACTGCCACAAGGGTTCTGAGTCACAAAATCATACTACATAAAACTAATTGAAATGAAATTGAAGTAGAATTTAGATGAAATTAAAATGCAAAAGAGAAATTACTTACGTATAGCTTCCTTTTACGGCCAGGAGCGGCCATTGTGTTACCGTTCCATCATGCCTTCTCCGTCGATGGAGAAAGCTAAGGAAAAGTATTGTGATCAAGGAGTGTTTGGTGGTTTATGAGAGCAAAATGAGATGGGATGATAATAGTTTTTCTATATACTCCCTATATATTTCACACACAATGTACGCGATTTTTATTTTTAAGAACTATATCGCACTTCGATTACGGGAATGATAGAACTAACAACATAGGTAATGGTGGTGGTGTAGATTCCATAAAATATGTGAATAAATGTGTGACCAACTATAAATAGTTCATAAACTGAGCCAAACAAGAGCTAAATAATATTCAATCAATATCACCTCCATTTTTGGACATATTCTTATTTCTAATTTTACTTATTCACCAGCATCCTCGTTTTCACTACCTTTTTGTCCATACGACTAATACAAAAACAACCTCCTACCCATGGTAGGTAGGATAAAACATTCATGTCAGCTGTCAAACCTACAATTTCTTACAATTCAACGTTGAATTGTTAAAAAATGTAATCTTGACCGTTGCTACATCAACAATAGACATGTTTTATCCTACCCATGATGGGTAGAAGATCATTTCTAATAATAATAATAATAATGTAAAACTAACCCTTTTATCAGCATGCACAAATTAAAGGAGTATATGTGGACTAGCCTTATACATTTTCACAATTAAATATATTAGTTAAAGATTAATTGATAAAATGAACTTTATCCTAAACTGTCAAAGTATGAATTTGGGCAACCACAGATAGACTCTTGGGGTCATATCATTTCCGGAGAGGGTCTTGCATTCGGGTTTACAACTCCTTAGAGAACTCTCTTCAAGTGGAGGGCAAGGGAGATCAACTGATTCACTATCATCAAGAACATCTCTACAACCTTAAGCAAGCAATGAAGTAATTAGTTAGTTTTCGTCGTCTCAAATTAATTATTATGAAAGTATTTACTATATAGCGTCGACTCAATTATTACTAAAGATTTTGCTTTCCTTTTTCAGCCAAGGCGTAAATGTGGAGGGCTACTTCATATGATCTTTGTTTGTTCTTTCATTATGTGCTTCCCCGTTAAGCTACTAGACTAAAGTAGTTAATAGCGTCTCGTATGGGACATGGGACATACATATTATGCCCTTGTTTAACACTCATTTTGTTTGAAAAATAATTTTTGAAATACTGATTGATGGAAGATTGTGTGGTTAAAAAGTAAGGAAAATTTTTGGATTTATGTGTAATATTATTTTATTAATAGAATGTGCAGTTGAAATGAAAAAAGGGAAATAGAATGAAAAAAAATGGGTGTCAAACAAGGGCTATGTGTTCGTTCGTGCTTAAAATCGGATTAAAATTGAAAATATAGCCGTTATTGAGTATCTCTCGTCTAATAAAAATCAACAATAACGATTAATTTTTCAATTTTAATCCGATTTTATTATCTACCGAACACGCCCATAGTCTTTCCCCCTAATAGAGTATTTCATTCTTACTTTTTCATAGCAGGTTTCCCTGCTCTAAACATATCTATTTATTGATAAGGTGAGGAGGCTTCGTTCACCACATAGAGCTCGGTAGCCTACTAAGGAAGCTCCATATTCTTAATCTGGCAAGGCTTGAGTTTGACATTGGACACTTTCGCTAGCATGTAGTAATCGAATTTTTTTAAATGCACCATATTTTAATTGCATTAAATGTTCGTAAACTTTATTTATTGTCACAATCATGTCTTCTACTTTTCAAATTGCAATCTTTTCTCAACATTTCGTTAATTAGCATATATTATCTCTGATGATGATTTTAGTCCAAAAGTTTTGTTGATGTGCTTTAAAACAAGAAAAAAAATATTTAGTCTCTTTTATATTTTGCTATTGTTTTACTTATTTGGAAATAGGAGAGGCAAGTTTTTTACACCGTCTTAATAAAATATTTGGACGGAAATCGGAGTCAGAAATTTTTTTTTTTTTTTGATAACCGTGGATGTCCGGACCAACTTGCGCGCACCCCGACTATTTCCACGGGGCTTTGAAGTTTACGGCCGGGTACTCACCTCAGTGGCCCCGAGGAGACTCGAACAGGTGACTATTGGGGAGCAAACCCAAAACCTGACCAATTGAGCCACTCCTCAGGGTTAGAGTCATAAATAAAATATGCTATTTAATAGAAGGTTAATGATGGCGAATGAAATTTAAAAAGTTGGTAAAAATATTAAAGGTGAGGAGCCTTTTATGCAATAAAAATATGGTGCACTTGTAAGGAATTGTGGTTAGGAGTGGGTGCGGTCTGATTCGGTTCATTTCTGAAGGGAATCAAATCGAACCGATTACTAATAAGAATCTTAGAGAAATTAAATCATTTGAGTTCCATATTCAACTATAAAATCGAATCGAAATCGAACCAATCGATTCATACTCGATACGATCTGATTCTTTATATTGAAAAAAAATATAAAATAAAGCATGAAACTACTTGTTGAATTGAAAATAGACAAAAATAGAGCATGAAATCGCTATCATTCTTGTAATCTAACAATACAAGAAAATTCATATAACAATAACTTGATTATTTTTAGTAATTCTTAACGATCGTGATTTTTTATGGCTGACTACTTTAAAAACAAAGATAAATTTGAATTCTTATGAAATATTGAACTAATTTTTTTTTTGTTGTGTTGTATTAAAATTATGAATTTATAAAATATTTATAAAATTATTTAGATGTGAATTTTGATTACCCATTAAATGAAAAGAAGAAGAAGTGTATGAAAAATGAAATTTTAACATGAAATAATTTTGGGGTCTAATGCTTAAAGATCTAGTATATCTTGGTGCAAATAAAATGAAAAATTCAGGAGAACCGAACTAACTGTTGGTTTTCAAGACAATACCAAAAACTTGACCGAAACTGATAGGTACTTAATGTATAGTACCAAAATCGATCCATTTAGTAAAGGAACTGGTGTCGAACCGACCAATTCTATTTGATTTTGGTCTGGTTGTACCGGTTCCCAAAAAAAAAAAAAAATTGCCCACCCATAATTGTGGTACCAATATAACCACATATATTTTTAATTAAACTTAATATGGTATGTGATGACAAAATGTTCGTCCCTTTTCAGATTTGTCCCATTCCTAACCTCTTCAATTTTTATTTCTTATTTTATTTATATTTTAAAATTAATTTTAAAACAATTCCGTAAATTCAAACTTTTCATTATTTTTCAATTACATGTTTTGTAACTTTTTACGACTCCAAAATTCATTTTCTTGTTAAAACGGAGCCCAAAGGGAATAAATGCAGCAGAAATTTTGTTGACGTGGATTCTCTCATTCACTAGACAAAAGGGGGTCGTTTTCAGGATTTGGCCTTAGGGTTTATGTGGTGAAACTTGAAAGTGGAGGACATTTTAAAGTTTATACCCGATTCAACTCAGTCACAGGTGAGTCATCTTCGAACAATTTATTGTTTCATCGATGTTTAATACAATTTATAGAGTTTTTCTTCGTGGGATTGGTAGATCCTCTGTTAGGATTATTACACAAAACCCTAAATCCCGTTTTGTTCAACTCGGCACATTTGCATCAGCAGCAACGAACAAATCAAAACCCAGATCAGAAAATGAAAATCAAGAAAGTTTCACGATTAATTACCTCATGAACACATTTGGGTTTTCGCCACAAAAGGCTCTTTCAGCCTCCAAGTACGTGAATTTTGATTCCAAAGAAAAACCCGACTCGGTTGTTGCAATGTGGAAGAGTCGTGGTTTTACGGCAGAACAAATTGTACAAATGGTGAAAAGGAACCCTCTAATTATGGTATGTGATCCTCACATGACCATTTTGCCGAAAATTGAGTTTTTTCTGTCGTTAGGCATGCCTGAGAGTGACATGGTGAGTATTTTCTGTGGGGCGCCTAATATTTTCAAGAGGAGTTTGGAGAAACAAATAAAACCATCTTATAATTATATTAAGAGTTTGTTCGAGTCGAATGGGAAAAGTTTTGGTTCAATGAGACGCTTGGCTGAGATCTTCTGTTGTGATATTCAATCTCAGTTGTTGCCTAATATTGATGTTCTAAGAGAGGCTGGAGTCCTTGAATCGAAAATTGTGGAATTGTTGCAAACCCAGCCGAGAGCACTGATGGTACGAAGGGAGAGGTTTAAAAAGGTTGTTGAGGAAGTTAAGGAGCTGGGGTTTAGACCATCAAGTTCGAAGTTTATTGTAGCAGTTCACGCGATTAGGTCGATGAATAAATTGACTTGGGAGAAGAAGGTGGTGCTTTATAAGAAGTGGGGGTGGTCGGAAGGTGAGATTATCTCGGCATTCGAGAAGCATCCTTATTGCATGATGATATCCACAGATAAGATAACCCCGAAAATGGATTTTCTTATAAACAAGATGGGGTTTGAATCTTCTTACGTTTTGAGTAGGCCTTCACTACTTTCATATAGCTTAGGGAATAGGATTATCCCCAGATGTTCTGTTTATAAAGTTTTGTTGGAGAAAGGTTTGATCAATAAGGTCAAGGTCTCGATGTTGGTATATACAGAAAAGAAGTTCTTACAGAGATTTGTGCAGCGGTATGAAGGGGAAGCTCCCGGGCTCTTGAAGCTATATGAGAAAGAATTGGCTCTTTCAAAGATTTAGCAAATAAACTGATGTACTGGATGTTAATTGTTTATGAATTTTGAGGTTTTGTGTTAAGTGCAACACGTTCAAGCCATTATTTTTTACCATGACAAGAAGTAGAATGTTACTGATGTTTTATACTTGATGATTCATTGCATGTCTTTAAGCTCCCAAGTTGTACGTTTTATTTGTTTTATCTGTTGTAGTAAAGAAATATTCTGGTTTTACGAACTGTCTTGCTCGCTCCGCGCTGCATCTGATGATACCAGCAATAAAGGCAGCACAGTATTCCCACTTCCACTCGGATGCTGAAATATTATGAAGTTTGAGTGGAGAGGATAGCATGGGTAAAAGTATAACCGGCAAGTAACTCGTTTTTCTATTAGATCTCAGGTAATCTCGGACTTGGTTGAGATATTTTTTACTTTTTGGTCTGTATCTAATTATCTTGATCTTTTAAATTGTTGTCCTCGTCTCATATATTGTAGGTAGAGCTTGTACGAGTCGAAGAGTCTTTATTGTCCTATTGGACTTTGCTTTCTTTGTGGGCTCACCTCTATATTGAATGTCCATGATGTAGCCTTAGATATTTTAGGATGCTGGCCTTGGCTTGAAACAAATCTTCAGGGTGTCAATCTTATCCCTGTCATATCCATAACATCTTTATTTTTACCTTTCAATCGAGGAAGTTGCATGTGTTGGGTTCTATTCCTTCTCTAAGGCAGAACACTTCCCTATTGATGTATTTTTACATCCATAGTTTAAAAAGGCGGAATTAAGTACTGAGGCGTTTTTTCTTTTTGAGGCGAGGCGTAAACCTCGAGGCGGTTTGAGGCGTAAGCCTCATCAAAAACAAAAAATCTAAGTGAGAATTATAAAATGATACAAAAAATAAAAGTTGTGTGAGTCTATTTAACAAATTTAATTATCAGTTTAACACATCATATATGCATACACAGATGAATTCCAGAAGCATGTTGGTACAATTATTGGTATATAAGTACTCTCACAATGAATTCCAGAACCAAATTCCAGAAAGAAAGTCAATGTCATGGAACCTATAAAATGATTTTTTGCACGCATATGAGCAAAAATAAACAGTAAAACTAACTTCTAATCATCCTGGAGTGTTTATCCCGAGATTTGTTGAATATTCGATGTACCGAAAGTCAGACAAAAGTTCAATTAAATTCAGATTTTGAAGTCTATAACAACTGATGCAATATCGCACGGTAACGTGAACAAGACAAAAAATAATTAATGAGATGATTATTTAACAAAAAATTAAGTAAATGCTTCACATTGGTCATTAGAAAACTGGTGCAGGATATCGAAATGAATGCTGGTTATTGCATGCAAGATTTGTTCTGAACCGAATGCCCGATGGCTGATGAAAGACAGTGAAACCAGGTGATGCCGGCACAACTAGAAGATGAATGCAGTGATATGATACAGTAGATGGAGGAGGAGGAGGAGGAGAAGAAGAAGAAATACCTGATGAATGAAACCAGTGAGGCTTACCAGAGCAGAAGATGAAGAAGACGGTCATTTTTTTGGTTTTCTGACTTTTCAGTTCTTTTGAAATTTTGGCTTCCTATATCATTTATTTTTCTAGGTTTTTTGTTGTTTTGTTTGGGTCAAAAATAGCTTTTTAAATGGCCCTTTTCTCTTTTAAAAAAATGCTATTTCTAATTTGTATTAATAAATTTGAAAAGAAAAAAAAAAAATTTAAGAGAGGCGCACGCCTCATGCCTCGTGAGGCGCGAGCTGTGAGGCGTGCGCCTCAGCTTTAGAGGCGCATGCCTCCTATTTTTGCCTAAAAAACAAACGCCTCGGGGCGAAACATATATGCCTCACACCGAGCCTCAGCTTTAGAGGCGCATGCCTCCTATTTTTGCCTGAAAAACAAACGCCTCAGGGCGAAACATATATGCCTCACACTGAGGCGCGCCTCCTCAGGACCGCCTTTTCATACCATGTTTACATCCCACAGCTTCGGCAGATCGCTTCGCCCCATTCATCTTCGGCTCAAGAGCGCTCGACTAGTGAGCTATCACGCACTCTTCAAGGGTGGTTGCTTCTAGGCAAACCTCATGGATGTCTCTGCACCCCTACCTCATTTATCACCGAACGATCATTTAGCTATTATGGTGTTACCAAGCTTGTTACGATCAATAAGAGCACATATCCCTTAAAACTAGGATAAATTTTGGGCAATTAAAGAATGTGTATGTGTATATTACTTCTATGAATATTGCTATGTAGCCCAATTGGTGTTTTAACACTCGTATGTATATGTGGTAATACATGATAATAAAGATAAGTTCAATTGGACTAATCCTGTATGGCCACATATACGGGTGTTACACGAGTTGGACTGCACAAGTGTATAATATTACTATGAACTTGTTTGGTACGGCTCAAAATCCAATTAAAATTGAAAATATAGCCGTTATTGGGTCCCACTCATCTAATAAAAGTCAACAATAACGGCTAGTTTTTCAATTTTAATCCGATTTTAATCTCTACCAAACACCCTCTTAATCTTGTTTAAGAATAACGGCTAGTTTTTCAATTTTAATCCAATTTTAATCTCTACCAAACACCATCTATACTTCTATCATCCACCAGTGCATGTGGAAGAAACGGTGCTTGACTATACATGAGAGAAGAAAGAATGTTAATCTCTTTCGTATGAATCATATTTCTTGGTACAATCTTTTGATCTAAAAACTTTGCCATAATCTTTATTTTACCATATTTGTTTTTAGTGTCAAATGCCAATGATTAAGTATAAAATTAGTTAGACCCAATTAATTAGATGGTGTATGGCTATTTGAGCCTCGAAATGATTATAATCTAAACACGTTACCCAAAAATGAGCGAGTTTTGATGGGCTAAGCCATGTGCTACTTTCACACAACTTAGCCGATCTAGTTGTTTGAGAGAAATTGTCAAAAAAAAAAAGAAAAAAAAAAAAAAGTAACAAACACAGATTTTTTTTTTATTTTTTTTTTTAAAAGACGATTTGATGATCTGTTGTGCTGTCCAGATTATAATATAACAGGTAAAATTCAGCTTCTTCTGCATCCCATCAACTTTTCTGTCAACTAATCTGTTAAATATCTAGCAGCTCGTGATCCGTCAAAATGAACAAGGTAATTTAGAAAGGACTATGCTACATGTATCGAATTTTTTTACCGAATTTTTTACCTACTATTCACAATGGGAGTGGAGATCATATTGTCAAAATTTTTAAATACACGCGATCCTCGAACATTATGTGAAACGAGATAATCCATTATATACAAATCATTATGTACAAATGGATTAACCCATTTAGAAAATAAAAGAGGTGGACGGACTTCAATTAACAATTGGAGTGTGCTAAATTTCTAATTCAGATCCACCATGATAAGTCACACTCACACGTGTGCCCCAAAACTTTCTTTTCTTTTTATTTTCAGAAATTCCAGTTTTCAAATAAAAAAATGACTTCTAGAATTTGATTTTCACTACCAATATCCCAACGCATTTTAATAAAATAAATTTAAACTCAACTGGAGCTCATCTCACTTGAATAATTTAATAATAAATAAATAAATAATATTAACGTTAATTCTTGAGAGACAGATAGTACGAATTACAAAGTGCTATAGGAAATGTGGATTCTCTCCCTCACTTTCAAGATTACCCTACTAAAAGCAAAGTAAAAAAACAAGCAATCCAGCTGTTGGCAACTTTTTCTTTTTACGTGTTAACCTCAGCTTAGAAATAAGTGATACTTAGTCCTGTTTGAGCTCCACTTTATAAAAAATCAGTTTTTAATAAAATAATTTTTTTTTAACTTTTTAATTATATATTTTTTAGAAAATATATTATCGCAAAAAATGGGGTTATAACTCCATTTCTTTTCAGGAAAATGCTATGCGTAGGACTCCCCCAATAGGAGAGAGCGTCGGATGTCCACTATAGACACTCGTATGAGTAGACTTATGAATCCACGGCACAACCCTTCTTTTCATTAGCCTCACTTTTCAGATTGTACCAAGTCCAACCACCACCAAAGAGATAATTAATCAAACAAACAAACAGCTGCTGCCAACTGAGTCAATCATGGAATGGAATGATTTTCCCTCAGATTTTGAACAGGATGAGAGGCAAGAATCGAATAGCAGTGAACCCCTGGATCGATTTAGTGAGTTACCTGACTCGGTAATCCACTTCATCTTCTCATTCTTGCCCATGGAATATGTTGTTAGGACGACTATTCTTTCCAAAAGATGGAAAGACCTCTGGACCTCTGTTCCCTACATCTATTTTCAAGCTAAAGAAGGTGAGTTAGATGAGTTCACAAACTTCGTTAACCGGACACTGATGCTCTGGAAAGGTAAAAAGATTCAGAAATTCACTATTGGTTTTGATGATGTCCATGGACCATCTTCATGTACTGATCTTAATTTGTGGGTCCGTTTCGCTTTGGAACATGAAGTTGAAGAGCTAAACCTAGAATATTTCTACGTTAATTTGGATACCAACTACTGGATGCCTCAGCGCCTATTCTCTTGTTCATCAATCAGAAAATTACACATCTGGGATTGTAATATGGAGGTTTCTGGGAAAATACATTGGGATCAACTCAAGAGTTTAACAATTCATAATGTGCGTTGGGGTCAAGTTGAGATTGACAAAGTGTTATCTGGCAGTCCTCAATTGGAAATCTTGACCATGTACGGCTCGAAGAACGTGAGTATTCATTCTGGTAGTTTGAAGAAGCTATTTATTGATTATGATTCACATAATCATTATGGTGAAGAAATAGATTCCGTGCTGAAAATTTGGACTCCAAATCTTGAAGTATTAGAAATTTCAGGGTCTTCGTATTGTAAGTTGTTGCGAATGAACGTCCCATCTTTGGTTGAGGCAGCCCTCCATTTTTCTTTTCCATTTCCAATCTTTAAAATCTTTAATAACCAAGAAATGGTGAGGGATATTTTCCAGAGCATTCATCATGTTGA